ATACCACAGTGTTTCACAACTTGCTTGTATTGCTGCCCTCTGCTCGCTCTACAGGATTTTTATCTGTTGGAGATCTGCTGCATCAACATTATCTTCCCTGAGGATACGCATCAGTCTGTCACGTTGGAATTTATCTAAAGCCTTCTCAGTGTCAACAAGGAAACACCGAGAGAAATCCATTCGTACCAATGTACGGTATCTCAGGCTTAGGATTGCTTACTTTATTCTCACTCCTGAACATTAAATGATTACCGACTGACTTGTATTTATTTTTCTCAGTGTATTGCTGTATGTTTCATCAAGAATTTAAAATATTTTAAGGCCACAGGTTATCAAACACATAGCTTGGTGTCAATCACAATTTCTGGCATTAGCAATTGTTATGTAAGAATGAAGATTTTTTGAAGCTTTCCTTCAAAGTATCCTGCATGTAATTGGGTAGAAAGTTTAAGCTACTTTGTTTGTTTTGTAGTATTAAGCAGCTATGGCATGTCACCTGTAATATCACCCTCTTCTTTTATGCTCTTTATTTTCTAGGTTCTATGTCAGCATTATCAGACCCTCTCTCTGAGTGTCTGTCCTCAGGTTTCTGAACAGAATCGGTTTAAAGCTCTGTCCTGTATTCTTGCCCGTCCATAATATCTTTTTGTCTGTAGCACACTTGCTGGTTTTCTCATATGACTAACCTCCTTTTATTATTCCAAACTTTCTTGGTGCTCTAGGTTGGGGGTTTTATGTTCTCCTGCACTACTTCTGGTTTGTTATGCCATTTTCTTAATTCCTTCCTTCTCCTGTCTTTCTCTCATAGCTTCTGTAACTTTCAGGATCCCTTCTGTAATCAGTTGTTAGCTTAGCGTTCTATCTTTTCACCTCCCCTCAGGGTGAGGTGGTTTTCAGAGTTCTGAAATGCCTTCAGTTTTCCTCTCTGTTTTTCCTCTCTTCTACTCATTGAATCGCCCCTTTGAGACCTATTCCTCATGTTTGTTTCATTTTTATTTTTAATCTACCTACAAAAATTTGAAATATTTTCTATTTAACATTCTTTCAAGCTTGACCTCAGCTAGAGAATCTACATACTGCGATGTATCTGATTTCCTGCAGGACCGGCTGTTGTGTTCAGCTGGGATCATGCTGAAACCAGACATTCCAGGTAACAGGATCATGTCTGTTGTTTGCAAATTCAATCAACCTGTTTTCCCTTTTAGTCTTAAATACGAAGCCAGGAATTCCCAATTCCACTATCCATACAACTGCTTTATATTACAGCATCAGCACCATGATCACATTCTCCCAGCCCTTCCTCTCTCTGCCTGCTTCCCCCCCAGTTCTTTATAAGAACTATTCCTTAACATCTTCCTGGAAGTCTTCCGAAGGGCATGAAAGATTTAAATATAGAGTCCAGATGGCAAGGTGTGTAATCATATGCAGAACATATTCCCAAAATACTAATGGCCAGACTTTTTTTTTTTTTTTAATTTCTCCAAATCCTGTGTAATGTCTTTAGTCACCTTAAAGTATCATATCATAAACGTTTTGTAGTTCTATACATTTCGTTTCACAGAGTTCCATACCAGGATGTTTTCAAATGTTTGCTCTTCTCCAATGTTTTTGGAAGCTATCTGATTTTACAATTAATGTTGATACCCCATGTGGTAATCTTCAATTTAAGGGTTGTTTCCCCCCCCCCCCCCATCTTTTGCATAGCTGATTTTACAGAAGGTGATCACTAACTCACATTAATTTCTACAGACGGATGATTAACCCCGAATTGGTAAGTTAAACATCATATAAATACGTAAATTAACATTTTCCTTAGATTTTCATATATACTTGGAAGGCTCTAACAAATTTCAGTACAAAAGAAATTTAAAAAATCTTTTGCATAATTATGGAATTCCACTAGAAAAAAGGATATTAAAAAAGTTAAAGATGTAAATTGAGGAATTAAAGGACAAAAAGAATTCAGTGTTAAGATGCTTCATCTCATCCTCTAAATGACTGTAAAATTTTCTAACACTGGTAAAACAACACAATTTCCTCTACCATCATTCTCAGATATAGCCGGACCATTTCAACTGAAGCTTCCCAAATGATTCAGCTTGAGAAAGACACTCAAAAAAAAAAAAAAAAATCAATCCAAATGTTTTAAATTTGGCAAAGGTACAAGCATTTAAGAAGAGGATCTCATACCAGTAAATACTCGGCAATCTGAGCGAGAGGCATCTTTATCTGCCTGAGCTATAACAACTTCCCTGCTTAGATGCGAACAGCTGTTTCTGAGAAGCCGCTGCGTAACTCCGCAGTGTTGGCTGCACTTCAGTACCAGGGAACTCAGGTTTTCGGCACTGCTGCGACTAAAGCAACAGCGATTTTAATTATCAGGAAAACCTTCCTCCCTAGCAGCAAAAAAAATCAGTCTCTTGCCAGAGTTTGTGGAAGCACCGCGCTTGGCAATATTGAGAACGAGACTAGACTGGAGCATTAGAAATCATGTTGTAGGATGGGAGCTGACTGTTCCCTGGTGTAACTTTTTACTGAAATGGAGCTACAAACCTTTAATTCAGAATTTATTTGGCCTAAAAAAGAGGGGACAAATCATGAGATGGACATATAGCATTTGTGTGATTATACACACACATTTAAGAAATTCCTTCCGTGAAGGCTTGAAGAACATATATCAAAATGAGAAAGCTGTAAACACCATTATTTATAGCAGAGTAAAAGCTCTAAAATGGTTTACTAGAGCTTCCTAACAACCATTCGCTTTTAATTGTTAGCATATTAAAATACTGAGCAGGAAATGTTATTAGGATAAATTTTGATTTGATCGTGGAAATAAATAAATGGAATTAATCTGTTATTTGCAGATTTCCTCTGTGAAAAATACTGCTTGGCGAGATTATCCCTCGCACATAAAAGGACTGCTGAAAAATGAGCTTGACATTGGATTGCAAGATGCAGAATAAAAAATATGCAGGGAGGGAGTTTTGTCCACTAATTAAGAGCAGTGGATTGTAACGAGATTCCCGGAGTCTGGCACTCCTTGTATAAATCACTTGAACTAACGCTTTCAAACAAGGGCACCTCAAGCGGATTTACCCCATCCGGATATAATTTTGAAGTTCGCCGCATACCAGCTGAAGCATCCCTACAACAGTGTTCACAAGGGGAGTTGTCAGGGGTGACCTTCTAGTGCTGCTGCTCTCTCTTCTGCCCCAAGAGAAGCAGGGACAGCCCCGAAGCTGAGGAGAACCTGCTCTCACAAGCGTTACGCTCCCAACATCGGTCTCCTGTGGTTCACTCCACGCATGCGCAGATGGGACGCCAACGTGAAATCCCCACGGAAAGTTTTAACATTTAGAGAGAGCAATAAGAAAGAGATTAAAAGGGAAGCTAGATCTAAATCAAAACTCAGGAGGCCTCCCAGATGGCCTGGACCCAGCAGCTGCCACACACTGATGCCCCATCACACATTACCGCAGTTGACCGGGGATGATAACTTTTGACATCTTACTTACACGTGGAACTGTCAGGGCAGCAGTTCTTATCTCATGTTTTAAATTATCAAGACAAAAGAGCGTCTCCATGACTTTATAATACAAGCAATAAACAATGAGCACATGAGCTTTCCCAGGTATTTTTATAGGAGCTGGAATGCTCACCTGGGTTGAGTGAGGGTAAGACACAACTTTTTTCCCTTTCATACACTTGAGTTTCTGTATTTTAATGCTCTTATCTTCCTAACTGAAGAATTGTCATTTTTATCAAAACAGTTATACTATTTCGAGTAAGCCTAACAGGGTCCTTCTGATTTTTTAATGTATTTTCCATGCTATAAACAACAACAGACAAACCTTCCAAAAATGGCTCACATAGACCTGATTTAGTATTAATCTTTTACGGTGTACTAAATAATAATAATAATAATAAAATCATCTTGTTATGTCATTCCAAAATTGCCAAGGTATTTCTGAATTTTGGAACTTGAATTGTCAGTTAAAAATAAGGATCATTTTATTATTTTGGTGCAGTATATCACTTTGTTGATGCTGGCAAATTTTTGCACTTCCAGAATGCATAGCATTTAGCTCAGTGACATAAGCATCACATACGAATTCCTGTAATTGCTTTTAGCTAAATTCTACACATAGATAGCTTCCTTACAGGATTGAAATAGAGCAAAAATGTAGTCCTTTTAGGGGAATGAAATGCAGAGGATGTATTTTGATTCTGATGACTTCCCAGGATGTTTCATTCAAGATGCAGTATGATAACGGAGGAAGGCAGTTCACAAGGTTTCGACAGCGTATGGAGCAATCCATTCGGTATCTTTGTTTTAAACGTATGGGATGCAAATAGAAATGCACTACAGTATCCTCCATTCCAGCGCTGCAGCTACAGTCACAGATTATTCCTTTTGGCTCGGTACGATGTACCTCTGTTTCACACTGAATGGTTTTTATGTTCCTAATCAATAAATTGGCTCAGTCATTTTCGCTGCAAATCCTTCTTTAAGGTTAACTACTATGAGAGACAACAAATATTCAAGCGTGCAGCATCATGTAGCACTGAATAATGTTTGCAGCTGGCATAGCCCAAACTAAGAGCTTCTGTGCAGTATTTTTCAGTTTATCATGGAAATCTATCCGTACCTATAGAAACTCTGACCATCTGCACACAAATGCGAATTCCGTAACTTCCTCGGTATTTTTATTACAAAAGCTGCAAAGAATTTACATTTTAAGGGCAAAGCAATCATAGTTAAGAGCTTCCTCTCTTGCATTTCGGACACCGGGAGAGCAAACATTAGTTAGGGAACACCAAGAGCTAATGGCGCAGCGAACCACAACAGGTTGCACGCAGCAAAACCCAGCTACACCCTGCGTGGCCTGCGGAACCGTTACATACAGCATAACTGTGGTTATAGCCCCGAGTTAAAGATCATACAGAGCATGCTGATTTTGCGAAATTGAAAGAAAAACAAACAATAAGACATTTACCTTCCACGTCAAGGCACCTAGGTGGGCTATCTGACCAGATAAGGTTATACATGCACTCAAGGAACTCTGCCCCTTCTAGTTTATATCCAGGGAAGCATTGATAATACACCACTGTTCCTACGGGGAAGGAGGACTCGAACTCAGATATGTTAATGTAACTATGAGGAAGAACCAATGGCCTCAGGCAACCTGCAAATTAAGAAGAGGGAGGTATCTTTTATTACAAGGTGCTTATCTCAGTCATCTTCACACGTCTTGGTTCTAATTCCTAAATTGAAGGGTGCGATATTTTTCATCTGCTCTGCTATGAATGGCATGCCCGTGTAATCTCCCTCAGCTACATATGTCTCATCATCCTGTTTCAAACCCTTTCATTGTTTAGCCCACACGCTTCACTAGCGTGGGAGTCGCTCTCAGCAAATCCAGGAAAGGTTTACTGAAAATGACAGTATTTTGTTTCACAAACATTCACTGGTTTAGCAGATGGCAATTTCTTTTTGAGGTAGAATCTTTAATAAATAAAGATTGTCATTTGTATAAACCATGAGTTTTGTTCCTCCTCTTAAAACTGACAGGCATGTAAACCATCTTTACCATTAAAACCGCTCCTGTGACAAAGTGCGCACAGCTGTAAAAGATTTGCAGAGAGAATTAACGATTTTGAAATTCCAGTTTGAGAAAGTCTAAAGTGACGTGACTCACGATGAGCAGTCCCATGATAAACGCTGAACGAGGTCTCAGATTAGGTTATCAAAAAGTTAAGGTACCTGTTATCACCAGAAATTGTAAATGCAGTCAGAGATGGCGTTCTACTTCTGGAATTACTTCTGAGGGACTTGTACCAGGGATGGTACTGAGCCGTGACAGTTACATGGTCACCAGCCATATTTAGTGCAAGAAAGAGCAGTGAATTTAATAGATGACATGGCTTTATAACATGTCATTCGCATACGTTCAGAGTCTGTTTTGAGCCAGTATGTAGGTAGGAGTTGGTACTAGAGGAAAAAAAAAATCCTCATGGCCTTAGAAATGACCCTCTGGGTAATACTTAATACTGTTGATTTTTTAACTTGCAATAATGTAGAGGAAAGATGATTAGTAATCAGGGAATAAAAAATAATATTATAAAGTTATGAGACTAATAGGAGCTGCATTATGGCAATCCATAAATAGGTCTCTTGCCACTACTAGGAATTTGTGAAAGATGTTCATAGGACTCTCATAATTTTCAGCCTGAGGGGGAAACTAATATCAGTCTGAGAACTTGTTGTAAGATGCTGGCATCTAAAATAAAAAGTCTCGGCAGCACTTCAAGTGGTTATTTCCTTGCAATGGTCTTTCAAGGGAGAGGGACGAAAGCAAAAGAAAACTACAGAAAAAGCCCGAAAGCTTTTTACAGCACACTGTCCTACCAGAGCAATGGTTTTGATAGCTGTTTGACTAGCTGGTTATCTCTCTGCTTCAATAAAGCTTCAAGCATCCCATCTCCTGGCTACTACTCGTACCCCTGTATGCCCCACGCACAACGTACCGGCTCCTGCAAACCAAGCAGGACGATATAAGCAGCCTCCAGTGGGACAGAAAGAAAAAGCGCAGACTGCCCAAGCAAGACCAAGCTTACTGTCCCTCTGAACTGTACCAGGGAAAATTTCATCCTGCTGGCTCAGAATTTTAATGCTCATTGGGTTCCTTTAATGCAGGACAGAGATTTACCTGAATTTGTATGAGAGCCAAATGTTTGTGAAAATCCCTGAATCTCTAAACACCTCAAGCTGCTTGAAAACTTCATTTTGACTTTTTTTTTTTTTACTAAGTAATTCACATCATTCCACATCAGTAACTGTCATGAGTATCTCGTGGCAAAAAGTTTGAGGTTGGATTCTTACAATCCTTTCCCACTGCTCTGCCAGAAAAAGGTATCTTGGTGTCATGAGACTCCCCTGCCTGTTGTAATCAAAAGGCCATAGAAATGTAATTGACAGCTTACCTAGTGCAAGTAGACAAATGCCTTTGATGTTATTAGTGCTTGACAGAGCAAAAAGAAAATTCAGGAGTCAATTTTGGATCAGGGTTACAGAATTTGGCAAAACATGGCAGATGCTTGAATCTGAATTGCCTATTCTCTACCTGTCTGGTAGCTACAGCACTGCTCTTGTGCAATCGATTTCATAATTTTTAGTGGCATTGCTTTTATTTTTAAAAGCACTTAACATTGAATATTGAGTAGCAGCAATTGATTGTGTTTTGTAGTATAAATACAGCAAGAGAAGAAAGCAGCAAGCCAAGGGGTACTTTTGCTTACGAGGTTGAAATTGGCTCTCACAAACTTTCCACCTGGAACTCTGGCAAATACAGTACCTACAAATTAATCTTTTGAGTATCCATCTCACTTAATCTTAATCTACCTTAATCAGATGTGAGGTGCACCCACTCCCAAAAATGGGCTGTATACGTCATACTGCCACACACCACGCCATTGCTGATAAGACACCCCAAAACTAGTGCCCACTTTTTTATGGATTTGTGAAAACCTCTTGGGCTTTGTTGGCCCTCTTCAGATGATACACTGAGCTAGTCCTAAATTTCTAAATGCCTGCACCATAGTCTACGACAAGACCTTGAGACACAGTTTGATGTGCCCCAAACTGAGTGTCCTAGCCGCGGAGACCCATGCAAACTAAACTCCTGTAACTTCTGACTCTGGCGCCCACCCGTCCCATCACCTCATGGCAGAAATGCCAAGCCCTGCCTCCGTCACTCCCGAGAAGTGTCCCAGCTCCCTTGCCCGCCTGCTCCGACTCTACAAATTGATGTGATGCTGTAATTGCGTGCGTACAGAGACCTGTCAGCTTTGGGAGACGATGGATGGGTTTGAGGAAAGTTAATACTAACCCCGTCTTCTCCTTAGCACAGACAGTTAAAATCTCTCGCCGCTGTTCAGCTAGTCAAGCTCGTTACCGAGACGTGAATTGCTTAAAACCAAGTCAATGGTACTAACACATGCGTGTTAGCAATGTGAAGGCAATAGCAGCCCAGGGTTATTGAATTTCCCTTCACTAAAGCTGGCTTACCGCCAGCCGTTTCTCGCAGTCTAAGCGAAGCTGGCACTACTAATGCTGCTAGTTCTACAGCTAATGGCGTTTCTGGCCAAAATCATTCCCGTGCACACCCCGAATTTTCAGTCAATACTGAAATACTGGGTTTAATGGACTGTGCACATGATCAACAACTCTGCTGAAAATTTCAACAGAAAAGCAGGTTCCAGCTTCTCTCCTCTACCCCTGACTGCAGCAAAAGGCAAAAAATGTAAATCGCAGTTAGAAGCGTAAATCTTGACAGAAATTAATTGGTGCAAAAATGTCAGTTGCCCATCAGACCTTTTGCTGAACCTTTGGCTGATTCAACCCGGATTTTTTTTAAATGCAATGTATCTGTGTCAGCTTTTAGACTAGCAAACAAAAAGCAATGTTTCAGGTAGTATTTTAAGTATGGGTATGTTCAGAAAGTGGCATATTCTTTCCTGCAGTGAGCAATGGGGAGGAGAAATCAAAAAACCCTAAGCAGCAGCGCTAGTCAAATACTGTACAGTGGAGCTTAGCGGATCACTGACATCCTTACAACTGTCGAAAAAAATATTGGCAAACTATCACAAGGTGCATGAGCTGTAAAACAGGATGTGCTGGTGTACTAAACCTTGACAAATGGGCAGATTATCCCATGTTCCATCGTCTTGACATATTGAAACCATGTTGTCTAAGTCAGGGTAACGGATCTGGAATCCTTCATGACAGCTGATTATTAACTTATCTCCAGTCCTGTATGTCTTGTTATGAATCTCTGCATCTTCAACATGTGGAACAAGGCAATCTGTGACTTCATGAAAAAAAAAAAAAATAGTAACTTCATTAAAAAAACATGGCTAGCTATTCAATAATCAAGCTCTTAAGCAAAAGTTATCAGTTAATCTAAGAAGTGCTCTGCTTAAACCATTTGGCAAACACATGCATTTCAGTAAATATGGCCTTTTCCTAGTTAACCATTGGTTACAAAGTCCATAGCACTGTAGTAGAAGCTGATGTGCTACAACAATGGATCACTCCCCCAGACTTTTTTTAAACAAACAAAATTAAGAGCGTTTAGGAAGACTGTTTTTAATTTCGCCCTTCCATTCATCACGTGTGCAAACTGCACCGCACGGTCTGACTATCCCCAAGTCCCATGCGAAGGCAGACTCCTTGACAGCACTACGGACAGGACGAAAGAAAAGATAAAATACAGATATGGCATGAGGAACACAGAAAAACTGCAGTTTTAGCAGAGAGACAGATGAAAATCAGGTACATTTACAAGGGTTTATCCAGCTCCATTCCGCAGAGTGTGAGACTGTCTTCACTTTAATCTCATTGATTCTGTTTTAAATCAGATAATTTTATGTGCCTGAATTCATATACCTTTAGAGGGTGTGATTTTTAAGGCCCTGAGCAGCATCTCAAGTCCTTGTAGAAGACTCGACAAGGGAAGTGACTGCAAACATCTAGTGATATATAGGCAGGGGCTCTACTACCTGTCTGTGACACATGTTTTGGCCAGTCTTACATCTCACTGTATATACCAGTGCCAAAGACATCAACATAAAAATAAACCCCAGAAGACTAAAAAATAAAAGATGTTGTGGAAAGTGGAAGGAAGGGGTGAGGCAGGGTAAAAATCCCTCTGCTAATACTGAATAATTAAGAGACAAGCCAAGAGGATATGAAGGAATAGTCCAGGTGACTCAAAGTTCATCCTCTTTATAAAGGCAAAGTGAAATTAAACAGAAGAGAGGAAAAGATTAAATACTGGGAAAATGTAATCAAAATTATCTGTTTGTCTGCCAGCAGTCAATCCATGACGGAGATGCTGATAAAAGTTTCCAGGCATCAAAATCCACAAAGTATTTCAAATAAAAGCAAGACAGTAAAAATATTATAAGCCTGTTTTATGCTGGGTTTTTTTTCCCACCAACGCTTCTACCACAAGAGACAATTATCTTCATTTAGGAATGCACTATTTATTAAAAAAAAAAAAGTTTCAAACATCCCTTGAGACTTGCATAAAAGAGAAAGTTTCTGCCATTTCCATGGGTAATTCTCACTAAAGAGGAAGAGGCGACTCTGAATTTGTATTTAACAATTAATTGTGAGCATGCACAAAGTAAAGCAATAGCAACAGCTTGCTAATTTGAAGTGCAACTAGAAGCAAGATAAACTGTCATTTAGTATAGCACACGCAAACTACTAAGAGCAAACGTATTTCAGAATATATTTATTTATTTAGGCAAACTAGGAGATCAATTATTCTGAGACTCCATCACTAACTTTTACTAATACAAAGTGGAAGAATGTTGCTTCCCCAGTTAAAACATACTTTCCTTTGTACCTTCCCATTATAGGGATGTTTTCTAAAATACATTGTACTTAGCTAACTTTTAGTATGGGGCGTGGACATATGTCCTGGTTTCAGCTGGGATAGAGTTCATTTTCTTCCCAGCAGCAGGTATAGCGCCGTGTTTTGGATTTAGGATGAGAGTAATGTTGGTAACACACTGATGTTTTGGTTGTGGCTAGGCAATGCTTACACAAAATCAAGGAGGTTGGCACTGCACAAGAAGCCGGGAGGGGACACGGCCAGGCGAGCTGACTCAAACTGGCCAAAGGGATATTCCACACCATATGATGTCACGCTCAGTATAGAACTTAGGGGAAGCTGGCCAGGGGTGGGACCACAGCTCGGGAACTAGCTGGGCATCCGTCTGCAGGCAGTAAGCAACTGTGCTGTGCATCACTTGTTTTGTATATTTTATTGTTGTTGTTGTTGTTGTTATTATTATTACTATCATCTTCCTTTTCTGTCCTATTAAACTGTCTTTATCTCAACCCATGAGTATTACTTTTTCCCCGATTGTCTCACCCATCCCACTGGGGGGACAGCGCATTGTTTTAGCTGCCTGCCAGGACAAACCACAACAACATATTATTAGTCAAAAATTCTCCCATTTCTCTTGTTACTTATAGCTCCTTGGCTGCTGCTGCTGCAGGTGCCTCCCGCTGCCTCTAACAGGAAGGGCTGACGCTCTGCCGGGAGCTCTGAGAACCTGCAGCATGACGTTTTGCTGGAATTTATTAATTTATGAATGCCCAAGTCTGAGAGGATGTGTACCCTAACAGAAGGTTATAAATGCGCTGGGCTGAGGATGCAGACATCACCTTCAAAGGCTGGACAGTTTGCTCTCTCGCTCTCTCTGGCAAGTGAATCGGCAGAGGTGGCGGCGGAGGATGCCCCGCAAGATATGCCTGACGCTAAGCCCTCAATGCTGTCACCGAGAGTCTGCCCTGGGCACCCCCGAGGATGGGATGAGATAGGTGGGGATCCTGCTCTGCCACGCAGGAGGAGGTCGGAGATGGATGCCAGAAGATAACGTCAATGAACGGCTCACTCCTGTTGCTATACAAATAAAAGAAGTGTGTATACACACACTGCAGTAAAATATGAGATTTCACTTTCAAAGCAGGGGGGATTCATTCTGTTACAATGATGTATTACAGCGGCTTCATCCCCGTTATTCCAAGTAACAGCTATAGATCAAATCATTTTCATCGGCTAGATGTTGGCAGAGAACTGCGATAAGTTGCTCGCTGTACCATCCTTCGCCTGCGACATCCTGGCTGACTTTGATAACAGGCCTATGACAAGCCCCGGCTAAAGACGAGACTGGTGGACCACAATATTACAGCTTTTTTTCCTGATGCTTTGCGAGCAAATGCCTTCCCACTGGCTGAATTTATATTGTTTAGCACTTAGTCAGGCATAAATTGCAGTAGCCGCCTCTCCGCAAACAAGTGGATTAGCTGGCACAAATTCTGCTTGGAAAAGCTGATAATAAGTGACTGGATTTTAAAATGTCCTGTCCTAGAAAATAAACTGCTTTATTCTAAGTACTTTTCAGCAAATCCGTGGAAGCAGCTAAACCATTTAAGGGAATACACGGTCTTTAACCAGCACTGAACAGCAATGGCTATGACTTAGGCTCCTTTCTGGCAGTTTACTTCTGCTTATATCTACCGTGTGAATATTAAAACGGGTCAAACAAAAGCACACCCTAGTTAGGAACACATTTCTTATCTTGCAAAGGCGCAGAGAGGTGGGGTGCAGCCACCCTCCCTCCTCCCAAGAGCACCTGGACCATAAAGGCAACTCGGAAGGAAGGTATGACCTGGACACGGTGGAGATTGCCGCTCCATCCGTGGGTACCAGCTGGCTTGGCACGGCTTGTGTCTGTGGCAGGGGAACTCTCACCCTCCAAAACTTGTCCCTGGTTCATGCTAATCCAGAAGGTGCTTGTAGGAATTGCTTGGGGAGTACTATTTGACATTGGCCAACACCATGCCAGGGACCTTTCTAACACTGTAACAGTACATGCAATTGAAGAACGGTGCCCTGGGCAGTGCTCTGGCACTGTTTTGTTTACTAGTCTGTATGTAAAGTCAAATGCAGAGCTCCAGAGCTCCCATGTGTCTCACTGGGGAGCAGTCTCTGAACTAGCCTTGACTACACCTAGCCACAACATTGACAGGCTGGAACGGAGAGGAACAGGGAGGATGAAAGGAACATCATGAAGAATGGGTTGAATGCAGGGACAGCTCATCTAGACCCTGTCCTCTTAAAAGTAAACGTTTAAAATTAAAATTGTCTCTTATTGTCTCTATGGTTAGAGCCATAGTACTGTGTTAGGAGGATGGTTCTGCAGATGGCAAACACAGCATCTCAGCGCATATTTAAATAACACTTTATTGTCTTTGCTTGTATTACAACAGTGCACAGAGACTTCGCCTAAGATCTGCGGCCATCGTGCTAAGCACAGGTTACAAACATCATACAGTGCTTGGAACCAGGCTTAAGGATCGACAACCACTGGGCAAGACAGATAAGAGATGGAGAAATAAAAACATTTCAGTCATCTCACAGATCGAGGGACAAAGGCAAAGAGAAATCAGTGCTCAACGTCATACAGGAAAACTGTAGCCAAACTATGTACTAGTCCACTACTTTTACTGCAGGTTTATCATCCCTGTCGCTGGGAGAATGAGGCACTGAGGATATCTCGAAGGTGTCCGCCTGCAGAAGCACTGGGAGAAAAGGGTACAGCTCTTCGCTTGGCTGCCATCCCCACGTACACTGTAAATTTAGATTCAATCTCATAGGAAAGAGGTAGCATTTGTTCCAAGTAGAGCAACAGTCTCAGCAGCCACATTATCACAGTGGGAGAAGATTAGATTAAAGTGTGAACAACATGACATATTGCTCTTAAACAGTAAATACAAAAATCCTACCTTAGAGCTTTGGTATTTATGTACATAACTGTATTAGAATTGATGGAAGTTACAGTCACAACATGCTGTAGTTCAACATGAGAACGTAACTCTAAGCGCACAGATTTTTGACAGGGCATTTATTGGGCACCTAGTCATGCAACTTCATTCTCATACTGACACTTAAAATCTCCCGCCTCTTAACGGGAAATGACAGACCTATAAAATCAAATTGATTGGATGATGAGCTCCAGGCAAATGTATTAGTTTTAAAATCAATTACATTCTGAAATGAGTTGCTTTGCTTCCTTTGGTAAATAGCATTCATTTGTGATTAGAGGTTGTTCTAGTAAACACATGTGACAATTAAATGTACATAACATATAGACATAAAATTATATGTAACCATCCTTAGTTGAATCCAAACTTTTGAGATTAACTTGAAATGAACTGCAGTATTGAGTGTTTTTACTGTTCAAGCTCAGCTGGCAATATCTGACATTTACATATACTGGGATGAGAGGCGTGTATAGCATACGACAGCAAACACGGCCATCAGCGCCTGCCTTAAATGGGGAAATGCAATATAAAGTTCATTTTGCCTTGTGATAGCTAATGATGAATGGTAAAACATTAACTTCTTACTTCTCCAGCAGTTGCTACAAATTTCAAATTCCTTTTTATATATCATTACAGAATTTCTGCAGCGAGGGTTTTTATGTGTGTCATTAGACAGCTGAGAATTACAAACCCTGTTATAATTCCTCCCTAACTGCTCTCCAGATGTGCCGTGTTCCTACAGTACCCACCTTCTATCACGCTCCTCTCTCATGATGCTGCTCCCAGTACACAAAAGGATCACTCTAAAAAGCACTTAAGCAAATGCTCACGGATTGCCACTGAACCTTTGCTTAGTGCTTCTCTTGAATCAGTGGTTGTATTGTGCATTGGAAAGAAGAATTAATTCTGTCATCTAATTTTTTTTCCCTATTGCTAAACCCTGGGATTGTTTTAATAATACCTGAGGTATTATTATATTGTTAATCAGGAAAGTACTTAAGCACTTGTTTCACTAAATCCTAAATCAGGGTCCTACTCTTCAGTCCAAATAATAAAAAGCATTTTTGCGTATGCCTAATTTTGAGCACAGAACTTTAACAAGACTAATCACATAATTACAGTTATGCTGAAGCTTAAGTGCTTTGCTTGATCAGAGCACTGGCTTGCAATCCTTTTTAAGTGTTCTGTGCTGTAAAGTAACGATTATCTCTCAAGCAACTATTGTCACGTCATCCATCACAGTCTCATCTTCCGATTTCTTTCTTTTTTTTAAAAACACCCGGCTCAAGTGTTAATCACACTGACATCAGTGACAGTTTTGCTGCCGATGGCACTGTGATCAGAAACTTCCTCCACAGGTTTCCACTGGACTCGGGGGCCTGGGAAAAGGTTTGAATATTCAACAAAACATGTTAATGCTCATTTTAACAACTGCAGTGGGTGATACAGGTATTATTTCAAAGATGCATATCAAAATTCCCAGAAGCTGCCTGCACTGGTTAAGAAAACAGACTTTCCAAGCATTATAGCATTTTCTGGTAGTTCGAATACCCAGCACAGACATATGCTGCTGTCACTCTACATGTCTTTTTTTCTTAAATAACGATGAGAGACAAGGGCACTTATGAAAGGTGGCTGTAAGAGGAGAGGGCGTGAATTTCATACACACATTATTTTTAAAGGCATCAGGTTGTTTCTTTGCAGCTGCCCCACGCCATCATTACGACCAGGTGTTACTGGCCCCCATTGCCTTTACGTTCCACCCATCAGCTGTGGCCTCAGCGCACGTCATGGGCCAGCTCACGACTGCGCCCCTCCCGGCCCCGTAGCCCGTGGCATCGCACATCTCCCGGAGTCCGTATTTTACCAAGACCTCCCCTGCGAAGGGCAGCGCCCTGATAGACCACGGACTACGTACCAGCTGCCTCTGGCTACCCTCGCCAATACCTCACGCGCCGCTAACCAGCCCTCTGGTTAGGGTTGTTCCCTTCACCAGCCCCTCTGGCCCCTCCTGTGGCAGCCCTGTCCTGGCGCAAGACTCTCATGGCCACCCGCCCACCAGCATAAACAAATCCGTGCAGTTTTTATACACGCTGAGTGACGCGTGATCCTATGTAGTAAGCACGCTTATGAGCCGCGTAAGTCTTCGACTACTTTTGAACGAAGTGCGTATGTTCATCTGATTTTAAATGATGGAAGGCATCGTGAAATGGAATTTATCTTGCTCCACCTTGAAGACAACGAGGCAACGGCTAATGACTTCAGTGGAGAAGTCACAACAGTAAAATGTACACACTTGATTTAACTAACACTTTTCACAGCTGCTGATTTTAGCAGCTCTGTTGACCAAAAATAAATCAACAAAAAGAACAAGTTCCATCTTTAATATACTTGGTGAAACAAATCGTTTGTGCTGCTTGGATCTACTTTGGCCAAAATTTACATTTATGATATTCGATTTAATCCTGCCTCTATCTAACTCTTAGAAGAAGAAAGTAATTTAATGTCCTAATTATTTAAACCCAAATACAATTTCAAAAATGCAATACAATAAAAATAAATTGGTTTATGCCATAATAGTCTGAATTGAGTAATCTCAAAGTAAACTTCTACTGTGACTTTAAACTTCTGCAGCCCATGCGTATTTGATTTTCCTACCTGAATCATGCACGTGTCATAAAATATCATTGTTTAAAACCCCCAATTAGCAGGAGCAGTAGAATTGGAAATTCATCATATTTGCCTAGTAAAATATTACAGAAAGGAGTATTAAGTGGGCAGCTTTAATAAATAGTTACAAATAGTTTACTTCCACTGGAGGTTGATTTTTCTCTCTGCATCAATTTGTGACTAGTAAAAAGGAGAAATGTATTATCTTCTTCAGATTTCTTTATGTCCCTTTCAACACATGCATGCGTGCACACACACAACCTCTCACGGTATAAATTCAGCTGACACATGGGGATTATGGGTGGGATGGATGGGAAGCTAAAGTATGTATCAGATAAGACACAGTGAAACGGACTCCAGTCTTTTGTGTTTTGTGCTGAGACACACGGACATGGTACACGGACAAGTGAGAAGAACTGACACTGGTGAACTGCTTTAAGAAAACTGACTTACCTTCTTGTAGGCACACAGGTTTATCACTTGGTTTCCAGCTCAGGGAGCCATTAAAGTGTCTCACGCAAAGTTTTTTTGAAGTACCATTAAGCCTGTATCCTTCTTGGCAATGAAACCGGACTACCACACTTTCAAAGAAAACACCTGCACTGGGTGTCTTGTATCCATGTTCGGGAGCTCCAGGATCAGCACAAGCATGTAGGTCATCAAACCCTATGTCAGACAAAGATACAAACTGTGTTCATTTACTTCTCACGCAGCTGTCGTCGTGCTTTTTCTAAGTTTTTCCATTTGACATTTAATTTTCATGGGGGCCTTACATCATCCATTAATGACCACCAGCGACCCTACTTGGGTATCGGGTACTACAGACTCAGGAGAGGACCAGCGGAAATACTCAGGTGACAGAAATACTCCTGTCTTGTCGTGCAGCTGCTGAAGAAGCAAAGTCAACCACACTCCTCAGTAGCTGACCTGTATAAAAATAAAGCACTTGACCCAACCTACCTGTGGGGATTGCACGGTAATGTATCTGTAATTACTCTTGGGGACTATGGGATTTTGGAGGTCTGGTACGGTCACTGAAAGGAATAATAATGTGTCAGAAGCTGAGAGGAAGAAGAAATAAAGAAAAGGGCATGAAGTCTAACTGCCATCCAAAGACGTAGTAACGGATAAAAGAAGACGAGCTGCTAGGTACAGGGAGGTTAAGAGCTGGGAGGGAGCTCCACCACAGGGAAAAGGGACACTAGATGTGTCCCTTTCGGATGCATGTGATCCCCCTATCACGTTGGCTTGGTGGTCCTACCAAATTCTTAAAACGCTGTTATGGGAGTGCTGTATTACTGCATTGACGCCAGAAGGGAGTTTGTAAAGCCCTTTACTTCACGAAATTAACTGTAAAATAACAAACAAAACCCCAACAGTTGCAATCATAAAATGTGACTGTTTATCACTTTATCAAACTCATTTCAATGCCATTTGCATAAACGGAAGCTTTTTTTTACTGCAAAGCAACAAAGGTTTAGTGCAGCACTTAACAAGTACTGCATACTGAAAGAGCAAATGGCTTTGGAACAGGAACAGCAGGGGGGCAATTAATGCTGGTGGGAGGGACGCCTGGAAAATTTGAAAACCATCGCATTGTAGCTTTAACGTTTTGAGTTTAAAAGAATAGTATCAGAGAGCCTTAGCTACTTCCTGCATAAGTATGAAGTGCCTCTGCGGTACAGTCAGAGAGAAGGAAGATATTACAGTAGAAGACTTTCCAAAATAAATCTCCATTTCCCGAGGCCCAATCATTCCCTCCACCGAAGGGCTCGGTGTGAGGCTGTGGCAGCCAAACGGAGAGCGCCGAAGGTGGTAAGGGGTTCTTGCATTTGAACACTGAATTCCTCCCTTCAGTCCCCTGGCTGAAGGCTGCCAGTGGAGAAGAGAAGAAGCACACGCCGAGCCACCGTGTTGTATGTCCAACTACCCGCTCCTGCTAGCAGAGGCAGGGCATGCCGTGGGGTCACCAGAGAAAATTATGTTTTCCTGACTCCATACATGGCTGATTTTACGTGAGTCCAGGTCACTGCGCTGAACTCCCCCACCAAGCTACAATTTCCAGGAGATGACCCGACCCCCGGAACCCAGCCCGGATAACTATGTGACATGCGTGCCGGAGAGAGCCATCACCGACACCCAGGATCTGCCCCTCTGCAGTGCTCCGACACCTGAGATGTCACCAGTGCCCCCTCCCTTTGCACTGCTGAAGCGGCACAAGAGCAGCAGAGCATCTTGCTCTTAGGTGGTTTTACTCCTCTGCCCAGTGAAGTTTATCGTGGGATCTGAAGGGTCAGTGCAGTAGCCAAGTCAAAGAAATCTCTGAACTTCACGGGTGCTCGTCTGCCACATTGCCCAAGACTCTCTATCATTTGCTAACATGACGAACGAGGAGAAGTACACTCATTATGTTCATGGGATTACACACTGCAGGCAATACTTAATAATAGAGAAGGGCTGTCCATTTTTACTGGAGATTAAAAAGAAGCTTCTTATGCTTCAGGCAACAAACCCACATCCTTCAATAAAGTCAGTGATGATCTTAATTATTTTCCATTAAACCAAGGGTTAACATGACATTTAGCTCAATTTGTTACTTTGGTAATCTCAGAATTTGCAGTCAAGCAAGGAATATTATAACCTACCTTGAAATATGTGTCCTTTCTTACTAGCTGCATCAGGGAAAAGTACACAACTGCCTACTACTATGCCTCTGCAACAACAGAAAAAAGAAAGGTGCTGAGGTCACATACAATTTTCCTGGTAAAAAAATGAGCCAAGGTCATTTCTCAGTTTTCATTAACTCAAATATGCAAAGTTAGAGATTTTTGGGAGCGTCAGCATAAAACCCAACACAGAAGGCAAGAATGGTTTTTTTCCCTAGTGCAGCCTAATTCTGTGACCCTACCACCACTTTTCTGGTGACCTTTCACAAGCAAGGATTTTCGTTCCTCCTAGGGATTGTTTTGCTGTAGGTTGATCTCTTAGATTCTTTTTCTCGAGTGCAGTTTGTGAGCAGACAAATCCATCCCCAAGGGAAATTCCCAAGAAGGAACTTGAACACCAATGGAAAAACTGAATTATGTACCCTCTAGTTTCTACAAAGCCAGTAGCCAACTGTTATTCAGCTACTGAATAAGAGATGACACATGGAATCAGCACAGGATCACTGCTTCCGTGCAGCATTTCCATTGCTTGTTCCTGAAGCGAGGAAGAAGGAAAAAGCCTCAGGGAATAGCCAGTTAGGTAGATTACAGCTGCAATACAGTAACTTCTCATGGTAAGATGATAAAGGCAAAGGAAACAAACCCCCAGTCCCATCTTTTCTCCATAGGCATCAACAGTAGACTTGACCCAAATCTCAGTCCTACTAAAATCAGTGGATGTCACTTGTGTGGCAAGCTTCTTTTAGAAGATGCATATGATCCAGGCAGAAAGCAGTGAAGCCAGCACTGTGCCACCCCTTCCTGTGCTTTGGCAAGAGAAGGAGGCAAGGACATGTGTGAAGGAGGTACAGCGAGGCTGGCCGCTGCGCTGAGGATCTCCAAGTGCGCAGAGGGCACCACAGGTGTTTTGAAGGGGCCAATACAATCTAGAGAAGCCAGGAACTGCTCTGATTTTCACCAGGGTTGCTCCTCTCTTGCACAAAGAGGTGTACCGAGTATTTCAACAGCTTATTTAGCTGAGAGCAAAGTCGACCAGCCTTTTCCAATTTAAGTATGAAACTTCTGGTACAATATTCGACAACAGTAATGCTGAAACATCCCTGAGAATTGCCATCTTCTAGTTGTCCTTAATGATATCAGACTCAGACCCTTTTCGTAGCCTTTTCATATAATCTCATCTAATTAAGCTCCACTCTATCAGAAATGAGTAAATGCATGCCTTCAGTGAAATACAGCTTGGTAAGTTGTCTTTTTTTCTTACAATTTTTAGTTTCTTTCATTTTTCAAAGCTATGCATTTAAGAGCAGCTACTCAAAGTTGTGCACACAGTATTTTTATAATGGCAGGAGTAATCTCAAGTTATAGATGGGGCATCTTTTGCTTTGGTCTCTTTAGAACCTGATGAAACCAGTTTTCAGCCAGAGCCGCAAGATAAGTCTTTGGAAAGAACCATAAAAGTTACATAAATGGGAAAGCAAATCTTTTGGTTATAATAGAAAGGTGTTATCCTGCAGGAAAGAGTATATCAAATGAGATAAAAATAACTTACAACTACAATGGATTCTGTTTCTTTAGAAACCCTTCAATGAGTCTTTGGGGAAAAGAATGAAATTTTACTTTGACTACTGGACTTTTTCTGACGGTTACAAAGAGGGAAGGGGCAATCATTAGCACCTACTAGGAAAAACTATACAACATACTTGTCAAATAAAGCAGTAAATTGTCATGTAATCTATATAGTAAAAATTTAGTAAGGTCAGCAGCCATCATCTTAACACTGTATCACTAGCAGCAACTTTATGGGACGTTATTGTATGGCTTTAAATCCCGAAAGACTACACAATTAATGCTGGAACTGATTATTTCAGTAATCAAAATAGCTTAACATTTAGTCTAAGTTGCAGACATCCTGTATCCTGGCACCTTTAAGGAATGTTGTGTAAAATATAATGAGCAATAATACCTTCTGATGAGGTTAATGAGTGCATAAGGTCATCATCACCAATAAAACATGCAGTTGATACAGAATATATTTTGGTTGTAGTATTTACCATATTTCTACTGTTGGACCAACAGGAGGCCATCAGAAAATAGCAATGATCTTAACCCGGACAAAACACAAGCAGTTTATATGGGTTCCTATCTTACCTAAATTGCTTCGTATTGTCAGTCAGATAAAAATGATGTCAAATTCATCAGAAGACTGAAAAACAAGCAATGCCGTCCTTGGGGTATAAAATGAACCATTATAATTCATTTGAATGGACTGTATTTCTAGAATTCTGCATTACATGTTCTCAAACTTATAATGATTCATCTCATCCCCGATGAAAAGCTTGAAATATTGGAAGCCAGGGGAAAATTACCTATTTGTGATAACAAGAAATCACGATAGCCACAACTGAACTTCAACCATGCCTGAAAAAAGGCAGGAGGAAGAATCCCTTAGCTCTTCCCATCATCCTCTATTTCTCCGCACCTTTTTCTCAGTTTCCTCTCTTGTTTTCCTTGTTTCCCTCCTCCCTCACCTCCGTATCTTACAGCTCCTTGTAAATTCATGGTGCTGGCGAGGTGATTTCTAATCGAGATTTGATGGACTTCTTTGTCTCTAAAACCGCTATATAGCATTTCGCTGACACACCGCTGATGCATGTTAGCTCAGAAATGGCTGCACTCGTTCTTGAACAGAGACATCACTCTCGTTCCAGTTTGTTACATACACGCAGTGAAGGAAAAGCAAGATATAATGCGTAAAAGCAACATATAATGCATAATAATATTCAAGAGAGAGAGTATTTTCAGTGTTTGTCTTCAGCACGACGGAGAACGGGCTTCTCGTACTGCAACGCCTGTGTTTGGGTTCACTAAATCAGCAAGTCCTTTCTGTCTCAGTCAGGGGTAGAGGGAGGCAGAAGCTTTGCAGCCTGTGGCGGGACCAGACTGCCTGCATGCACATTTTATAAGGAGTCTGTAAACACTGCAGGAGCAGGTTATCTTAGGCCAGCTCTCAGTAAAAAGCCGT